CCAAGGGTGAAGGATAGATGCCCCGAGAGTTTTGGCTCTGCCCCTTTGGACGCTCACGTTTTGCATCCCCATAACTCTTACGTAAAAATGGCTTCCACACCCCCTCGTGGGGCCCAGATTTCCTGGGGGAGCCATGGCCTCCCCACCGAGCGGGAGGTCCTATGTGTCGCAATCAGCGCTTCGCAGCTTTCCTTGCACTATCTTATGACATTTTCTGCTTAGTGACAGCATTTTGAACGAGTGCGAAGGGCTGCACAGGCGCGTGGGTTTAAAGAGAAGTGCCATCAGGGCTGCAGGCGAGCGCTTCAAGGAAGTAGTTAGCGGAGCTAGCACCCAACCTGCTCGCCCATACAGGCTGATTGAGCGCTCGGACAAAATCTCTAAGGGGGTCGTGGAGGAGATTGCGTGTTTTTGGTACAACAACAGTGTACTCAGTCCACACGCGAGGGACAGTGTAAAGATTCCGGGTATTGTTGCCGTGTACTTTCCACGGAGGATAGTCCAAAAAACGTATCGTCAGCTGTTCTTGGATAACCTGCATCAGCACAGCACCGCCTTCCACGTGTCGTTTGGCTTCTTCGTGGGAGCAAAGCCTGGGTACGTCAAACCTTTTAGGGTAAGAGGAATTGTAATGTTGTTTCAGCTTCTGGACTTATGTTACATCCATGAAGCTAAAATGACTGATCCCAGGCAGTGTTTGATTTGGTTTTGGGCTGGTCCCATTTTATTACTCATCAATAGGGTTGGGACACCGTGATCCCAAAAAGTGGTATGCGCAACACCGTAAATATCGAAATTTACGATGGGTTCCGGGGCAAAGTGGACCGTAACGATTTACGGTCCTCGTTGTCGGAGCAAAATCCTTTCTTTCCTTTCATATAACGATATATAAGCTTATTTCATACCTTTTTACATAGTTTTATCAGGGTTACTTGCACCTAAGCTTGTATTTAGCCGCGATATGGGTGACAACCAGCCAAAGGCGGGCTCTGACGCTGCCCCTGCTAAGCCGCTGCCCAGCAAGCAGCGTTTCTCAACCCAAATGAAGGGCACCCAGGACGAAGTAGCGGCACCCAGGACGAAGTAGCGGCAATAGCCACATGATTCAACGAAGGATTATACGATGTGTAGTGGCTAGCTGGTTCTTGACAACCAAATGTCCGCGCTTGTTGGGGTAGAAATTAGGGTATAGACGCCGAGTGGTTTAGGCGGTCACGACGCAAGGCCCACTGAGCATCCCGGGTTACGCCTATGCTTTGTTACATGGTATCGAAGCGTTCCGGGTAGCATATCCAGCTAGCCACTATGCATCGTATAATCCTTCGTTGAATCATGTGGCTATTGCAACACAACTCACAAGTGCAGGATTGTTACAGACAAGGATAGAACGCAGGACTAGCCTTAAGCAGCAAGCAGAATTGCAGTTACAACCTACGATTTTCCGAATGCCATCACGCAAGCGGGTTGACCTGTTTGACTTGGAGGATTTCGACCCTACCAAGCTCATTAACCAGCTCTACCCGGATGGTGCGCAAGCACTGTAGTTGGGATAAAACATCTCTCTCCGGACTGCCAAATGGCCGTAGGTAGAGAGCAGGTCGTCAGGACAAACACTGCCTCCCTGCGCTCATATTGGCTGGCAAACATTTTAACTAACCTTATCTAACTAATTTTTGACACACTCAGCGGCGTACGACGGCGCCTGGTGCGATGTATGCGTCCGGAAGCCCTTTCAGCCTCCAGGCATGTCCCCACCTGCCTCACAGCCACCGACGCATCTCACGGCGGGGGTCTAATTGCGTGCGCGTATGGATGCTCCTTTCCCCGCCGCCTTTCCAGGAACTAGTTGATGTTATGATGCATCGTTGGTCCGGCGTACGACGGCGCCTGGTGCGATTTATGCGTCCGGAAGCCCTTTCAGCCTCCAGGCATGTCCCCACCTGCCTCACAGCCACCGACGCATCTCACGGCGGGGGTCTAATTGCGTGCGCGTATGGATGCTCCTTTCGCCGCCGCCTTTCTAGCAACTAGTTGATGTTATGATGCATCGTTGGTCCGGCGTACGACGGCGCCTGATGCGATTTAGCGTCCGGAAGCCCTTTCAGCCTCCAGGCATGTCCCCACCTGCCTCACAGCCACCGACGCATCTCACGGCGGGGGTCTAATTGCGTGCGCGTATGGATGCTCCTTTCGCCGCCGCCTTTCTAGCAACTAGTTGATGTTATGATGCATCGTTGGTCCGGCGTACGACGGCGCCTGATGCGATTTATGGAAACCCCGCACATCCCCCCCAAGACCACCTGGCCACCGACATGCAATCATGCTAGGAATGAGCGGGAGCCAAGGGAAACCTTTAAAAGCATGATTTTATTACAAAAGACGATCCATCATAGATAGAGCAGCACCATTATTTGTGTGTTGGTTCATGTGTCCCAAGTATTTACAAACTACTGTGAATAAATACACAGTACATATGTAAGAAGTACTTAGGACAGGTTATCACGTACTTCATAAATGTCAACACTACATTAGCTGATAATTATTGATCCGGTTACTGTTACAACCTAAGTATCAAAGTTGTTAGGGTTGTGTTAATTTATTCCTCAATTGTGAGGCGCCAGAGGGTGCTCCAACCCCCCCAGACCCTCCCCATATGTTACAACCCCCCTCATAGACCAAGAGTCATGCACTGAGTTGGCGCGTTTTTTCGTTCGTGTGTCCACTCTTTGTGCACATGCTGCTGCTGTCCACTTCCTCGGTGCGTCGCGGAACGGGAACATGCCCAGGTCGAACACGACCCGGGGCAGGTGCTCCGGTGCCAAAGGCGGTGGCGTGCGGTTGCCACACTTCCAGCATGCAGGAGAGTCTCCCATAAAGCCTCAGCAGTGGAAATGCAGTGTACCTTCCTCACTGCCTCTGCCACTAGCACCTACAGCACCACCTCTAGCACCGCTGCCATTGCCAGCAGCACCGCTGCCGCCACTAGCACCAGCACCACAGCCACCAGCACCGTTGCAGCCGCCAACACAACCACCATTGCCACCAGCATTGCCGCCGCCACTGCCACCAGCGCCAGCACTGCCTCCAGCACCACTGCTGCCGCCTCTAGCAGAGCTACGGCCACCACTGTCGCTGCCTCCATGTACCGCCACCGCCACCACCATCCCTAGCACCACCACCACCTCTAGCACCACCGCCGCTGCCAGCCGCACCGCTGCCGCCACCAACACCACCGCCGCTGCACACGCATGTACTCTAATCTTGACTCTCTCCCGCTCCGTCCGTATCTGTCTCCACGTCCGTCTCCGACTTTCCTCCAAACCTCCCCTCACTTCTCATTTCACGTATCTTTGTGCAGTGGGACAAGAATGTGTAGGATATGTGTACTACTTGTGTGCACGTTTCTGCTGTGCATGCTCTCTGCTTGATAATATATTTATAGATAATATGTGATCTGCTCTTTGATATCACAATAAAAGGTACATTGGTAGTAGCAATATCAGTAGCAACTGTAGCATGAGTAGCACTAATGATGAATTACATAGGGTGCGGCTGCCATGTGTCATCATGGAGGGGTGTTTCGTACCTCCCCCTGCTTCCCCCCCTCCCGCTCTGCCGCCCAGCTGCCCCGCCTTCAGCTGGTAACAGCCCAAGAGGTCGGACTGTTGCTTGCGGTTGAGAGCCTGAGGATGGAGAGGGAGGAAAGGGGGGGGAGGGGGAGAAGGGGGAGAAATCGTATGATGCAAGAAACACAAGAAGTGAAAAGCCGCCCGGTGTCCAATGCCGGGAAGGGGGGGAAGGAGGAAAAGGAGGCATCGCACTAAGGGGGGAAAGGGGGGTGTTAACAACCGGCGGAGTTAACAGCTCCCACCCCCGAGATGAGAACGTACAAAGGTCCCACCGTTCCAGCCCTCCGTGCCCCCCCCCTAACCCCCAA